AGAGGGAGGGGTGGGAGAAAGGGATCCCTGTTGTTTTTTTTTCCTCTTCTGGGCTCTATAAGCAGGTTTATTCCCGGGAGACAGGAAAGGAGGTGAAGGAAGGGCAGTTTTGACACAAAAGCCTTGGCCCAGGAGCTGGGAGATGAGGTCTCTGGTCTTGGCTTGGCTGTGGGTGGGGGGTTGGCCACCTGATGTTGTACAGGTTGCTTTTCCCCTCCATGCTGGATTTTCAAAGGCAGCTCAGCCAAAAGATGCAGGTTTGTAAAAGCAACTGCAGCAGATTAGGCACCTGACTACCCTTTGCCTTGCCCCAAATATAAAACAGGATAAGTAATCCTCATCCTGCCTACTCCACCTACCCCTTCAGAACTGAGCTGTCTCTCTCTTGTCTCTCTCTCTGTACAGCACCCAGCACAGTGTTCCCTGCTCAGGCCACTGTCAGCTGAGTGGTTCAAATGGCAGACAGGCTGCAGAGGACACAGTGCTGCCCCTTTTCCCAGTGGTGCCACACAGCCCTAAGGATGCTCTGTGATAGAAGAGTGCTGCTCTCCATGGAGAGCCTTTCCAAGGCTGTCTGTGGCTTCCTTGCCTTTGAAATTGTCGACTGGAGTGGCTTTGTCTCATGCTGTGGTCACTCTGCAAGCTCTTAGTGGCAATGGTCAACCCAGTCCTGCTCCATGAAGATCACTGGGTGCAGGATCAGGCACTCGGGGGAGCTGGCAGCTCAAGATCAGGCTCTTGAGTTGTTTCTTGACCTGAATCAAAGGCTAAGGAAGCCTCCTCAGTCCACCATGAGCTGGACAGGGTCTGGGAACGTTAGACTTCAATGTCAATAAAACATCTTGTTCTGGATGCAGGAAAAACACACGCCTTGTCAAAATGTGCCACAGACCCAGTTTGTGTGTGTGCATTGTAAACAGTCCCACTTTGTGGTGCGCGGCAAGGAATCCAGCACCTGGAGGCAAGCCATTTGTCTTCCCACAGCCCAGTAATTCATTATTGTGCAAGTTTAATGGCTCGCACATAGAGGATTGTACCCCCCCCATCCGCCAAAACCCAGCTGAGACACTCTGCAGATAAGGAGGGACTGTGTGGAGTGGGCTAATTGGAAACACGGCTGATAACTGCTTCGAACGGCTGGGTCTGTGCTGCCACTTGAGGAAAGGAACTGACTTACGTGCTCTGCCCTGCCATGTCCGGGCAGGCAACCTGTCAGAGGTGGTGTCAGTTAAACCAGAGAGGGGTTTCCCTGTCAGAAGCCTGCAGAGGTTCTAAAAGGCTTTGCACTGTAAGAGGCTCTGTGGGGGACACTCAGCTGCTCCCAGTCCAACCCCAGAAAAAGCTTTCAGTAAGCTCAGCCTGGGTTGTGGAGGTGATGGTTCATTGCACTCGAGACCAGAGTAAAGATGCAGAGCGAGTATCAAGCAGATGATACGTGTTTTTGACATCTCTTTCCTTTGTCTTTTCCATTTGACAGAAATCCAAAGATGACGTGAGCAACTTTGATCCAGATTTTATAAAAGAGGAGCCCGTTCTGACTCCCATTGAAGAAGGAATTCTTCCGATGATAAACCAAGATGAATTTAGAAACTTTTCATTCACAAGCCCGGAACTGCAGCAATAGCTACAGCTCTGGGGAAGGGCTGCTGAGAGGACTGGGGGGAAATGAAATGAAAACCAAGTTTACCAGAAATTTCATTCTCAAGGAGTAACAGTGCACTGACTTTATGCGATACAGCAGCACCACTGTCAACGTTACCTTAATGTGAAATTGAAACCTTCCTGTGTTTGTAGGGTTTATGCAGCTCTTTGATCAAATATTGACAGGGGTGGAACAAACATGATATTGTAAATAGTTGATGCAGCCAGAGAATTGAATGCTGAGCTAGTTGGCTCAGCCTGAATGTCACCGTTCGCAGTGGATTCGAGGAGTCGTCATGAGCATGAAATAAGTGTCTTGCAGCTCTGAGCCAAACAGACTTGTTACATTCTGATTGTTTGCAAGACTATTTTGAGGAGTCCCAGCACTGTCCGGCGTTCTGGAGCCGTGATCCAGCATCCCATGGCCTGAACCAGATGTTCCTACTGACTTTACCTGTTTCTGCAGTATTTATTTCTTTCCAAAGGACAAATGGCTCTCTTTGCCACCGTTTGGGTTTCCCTGTGAAATATTTCATTGTGCTGACTAGCAGAAGGAAAAAAACAAATGCCCTGTGCCCCACACAGATTCTTCCAAATCAAAGGGAAATCATGTGCTCGTAGTGTTTTACTGTTTGTGCGATATGAAAAGTTTTAGTGTTTGCATTCTGTGAAATGCTTTTTTACATCATGCATCTTCAATGCTCCTTTCTTTGCCTCCCAGCTGTTTTCAACTATAATGTAACTTGTAAAACCTTACTGTTTATTTAGGCCCATTCTATTTAATTATGCTATACAGAGCCCCTTTTGTGGGGTTAGTGCCTCATTAAAATTTTGATCCAAAGTGGTAGCGCTTAAATTATTTGTAGCATTATTGTGATGGGAGCTGCAGAGCTGGCAAACGGCTTGAAAGCAGATTTGTTGACCAACAGGTAACACAAAAGGACAACTTTCTCCCATGAGAGTGATAAACCTTATCTAAGAAACAGGGTGACTTGGTTTGGTTTTGATTTAAAGGCTTATTACTGACGGGGCACTTCTTATCGGCTGGAGCCTCAAGCCTCTTCCCCAGGCAGGGCGACAAGCCTCTGCCACAGGCAGGCTGAGACAATTTTTCAGTGCAGTTTGTGGAAACCAGATGCTCTAGGAGATGATTCTGTGATTTCCCTGCTCTTCTGGAAGTTGGATGATTTTTCTGTAGCTCCTTGGCACACTTTTGCACTCCTTGCTGGGCGTGAAGCTGTATGTCAGGATTATAGCCTCATCCTTGGGCAGATATGAATTACTGAAGAAGGATTTCTAACTTCTTGCAAAACTGATCATGTTTGTATAGGGCTAGTCACATGCTTCAACTTGAGAGAAGGGTGAGGTACAGCAGAGAGGGACACTTCTGCACAGGCCTTGCACTGCTGCAACTGTGGAGGTGATGTAGGGGAGCAGAGGCCTTTGCCAAGGAAATTACACAGGTACAACCCCCATTACAGCACAGACCCACCAGTATGTACGTGCTCACCTGCTGTGAGACCAAGTTAGAAATGAGAAATCAAAGCTGAGCTCTACATGCAAGTGCTGCCCCTTCCCACCCGAGCCCTCTCTACTTGACTGAGTCCCTTTTACTTCTACCCCTAAACCATCTCCTGAACTGTTTGACAGGTGAGGCAGAGGCTCAGTTACCCTTGGACTCTTCTTGCCGTTGTGCTTGTGTGTTACACCAGTTCTCCCTCTTTCTTTCCTGCATCTCCTCTTTCATGTAAGCACAGCTTCATCCTCTAGTCTTCCCTCCCTTCCATTGGCATCTTCTGGCCGCATTGCAGCCAGCCCGCCTCTTGTCCCTTTGCTGATCTATAGATACCCACCTCCTTCAAAGTGGGGCAAGAGAGGAGGAAAGACAGGTTGTATAGTAT